CAACTGAATTTATCGTACAGTTATCTCAGATATGATCATACTTGTAAAAACTGCATGTTAATCATGCTGTAGCGGTAAATAATTCCCCAAAATTATTGACCACAGCAATCACTCAACATTGGATGCTGACCACCACTGTTTAAGTCGACTTGTTTAGCTGAGGGCTTTCGGTCAAGCATCCCCGCCATTTGGTACTCCGTCGTGTTACGTGCGGCATGATCACTAGCCAGCTAAGCGTTCGTTTAACAACTCGTTTTGGTCCTGAAATATATCGCGTAATTTGGACGATCAAATACTGTCTTTTGCTTTGCTTTTGGTACGCGAAAAATAATAAGTTAGAAGTTGATGTATAGGAACTTGCGTTAATATACTCAGTACTGTGCGCGAACGTCTATACCGTCAACCTCCCAAATGTCTTTTCAATGTGCCTAGCGGTCTTTGTATACAACTCAGACGCTGAATGGGATATCAACTTGGTAGTGAAAGACAGCCGCAACCACATACAAAAAGGTACTTTTTGGGGTTCACTGACATGAAACTTTTGGCGGAATGTAGGATTTTTAGAAGTTCACTAGTTAAAAATCGAATTTCATCAATAGTCAAATTTTCCACACATTTGCAAGCGCCTTGGCTTGCACACACTTCAGTGCAAGCGCAGAACTTCGGCACTGTGAGGGAATGCACTTCTTTACTGTGGTGTAACACACGGTGATACAGTGTTCATAAGTGGGTGACATCTCGAGCTAAACTCAATGCTCACAACCGTATCAGTTTATTCACACAGCCGATTAACTAACCTCACATTTTTTCTCGCTCCTACCCGTGGTTGGCTGCGTTTTTCCATACCTCTATTATATAAGTTGTGTCATTTCGATCGCAATTTTCTACGTACTATTCGGTCATTTGTACAGGCATTCATAATAAACATTTATATATGGGTATGCGGTGACAAAAATTGCGCTGGGCCTCTCGTGTCCTCAACCTTAAATAGTAATCAGCATCCACCGCTTTACTTTGCCACGCTTTCCCACACTCGATGAACGTACCTTGCTCTTATAACGTTGTTCCACAACCACCTATCATGTGCATTTATTCTACAGTCCGACAACTTCTGTGAGGAATCCATGATATGGAAGACTTGCAATGTATGATACTTGCTGTACCACTTCTTAGAATACATGCGGCTGCGATCATTAACGCATAATAGTGTAGGTATACTTCTTAAATACATGGGTTGTTGAAAGAATAAGTTGAAGAGTATATGCACACAAAGAGATAACAAACTGCATATTTAAATATGAAAGTAATTGGTGTTATCAGTATCAGCAGCTCTCACGGCCAGTGAAGCACCTAATACTCTGACCAAAGCAGGCTACTAAATGGTCAGACTTACTGTGTAGCTGAATTCCAAAAAGTGGAGAATATAACTGTTGAAAACCGTTGCTGGAGAATTACCACTTAGTGTGATACTAGTACACTAAGATGACGTAACCTGAACTGGAGTAACGGCAATACGGTGATTCCAGACTCAATCATTACGCGATTAACGACACCAGTAAAACTATATGCTAAGGTAACCGCTATAGAAGTGTTCGCATTTTGCAGGCTTTAAAACTATCACCTAAGTTCTAAAGCTTGCGGCAGCATTCTGATTTTATCTCACCTATAAACACCGACATTCATTTCGATGATAGAAGTAACAGCTTTAGTCGTAGCTTCCTTCTTACCAAGTAATTTTGGCTTTCGAGTTTGTATGTTGATAACAAATCATTTCTGATCTTCAGTCTATCGAGAATCACCTTGAGTGATCACTTGGCTACTATTGAACTCCAAATTACTAATAGGATAAACTGTACCAAAGCACACAACACTCAAATAATACAGAAATCAGAAGGGAGAAATGTAGGATGACATGATATTTTGAAAGGGGAATGTCAAAGTCCATAGGCAATTAAACAATCCTTTTAAATATATCTCAAATAATGTTTCTAGCGGTATATTATTGCCTTATGATGTGCTTTTGAAAGAAACCTATTTGGTTAACTTAATTCCTGGCTGGAGTTACAAGCAGGATGGACGTGTCGGACACCCATAGTACTATTATGGATGAAGTCCTATGAAATCATGCTCATGAAAATCTGCATGGACTACGCCACCGTTTTTTCCGGGTAAAAAGCAAGGCAAGCAGGATCGTTTGAGTAGATTTTCATTTAAAGCGAATAAGTTTACAAGTCTGATGGCATTTATTAGCGTTACCAACGGTAATTATAGGGAAATTATTTGCTCAGACGTTTCTACATGTTCAGGAAGTAACGTGATGTCGAATCATCGGTTCGGAGGGTGGGATGTGTGGAAATACAGTCCTTTAGTCCGATTTGCCTATGATTTTATAGTCAGAGCAGTAGGAGTTATTCAGTCAAAACAAGGACAACAGGAAAGGTCTTTAGCTTTGAATAGGTATGGAGACCTCCAATGTTTGACAGCTGTCCATGGATGTCTCAACAAGTTCGACAGTTTAACTGCCAGAAAAAATGTCCACTTCCAAATTATTTTTATTAAGCTTGGGTGTATTCATATCTAGGTTAGCATTTCGCTCAGGTGGCCAAGCGGATAAATGGTGGCGGTTCTTGATCAGATATCTCTGGATGAAAGAATGCGATATAATGGGCGTGAAAAACACTCAGGATCGAGTGCTGATTAGGATGCTGAGTGTAGCTTCTTGGGATTGTTCACCACTACAACCACACACTCACTATTCTGACTTGCCATTATTGCCTCCAGATCTTCATTTCTGAAACGGTTGAACAGATATCTAGTGCTGACTGTGTCAATTCAACCTGCTCCTACAGCCTTAGTGAAATCCACTCAACCATCTACTAAAATTGTTGTTCAACACTAACGGTCAGGTGAGAAAAACATCTAGGCTTAGCAATGTATGTGGAAACAAATATTGCAATTGTACGGAGTAAATAAACATAATATATTTTGCTTTCACCATTTAGTTGTTGCTCAATTGATACCACAGGAATATAGTGTTGGAAGCATGGGCGGGGAATTCAGGTGTTGCGCAACGCCGGATTATTTACCCCGATGTGTTGATTATCAGAACTCACATATGATTGAAGGCTGTAGACGCTGAGTCGTTTGACATTATGGAAAGTTCGGACTTAGTAGATGGTTTCACTCTGCTTGATTTAAATAAATAATCTCTTAAGCATGGAAAGAACTACTTAAGTAATAAACTAATTAGTTTATTACTTAAGTAGTTCTTTATAAAGTTGAAGTCATAACTGTAGTCGTGGCACATAGATTTGTCCGGATAAATGTTTGTCATTTTATGTGTCCAAGAATTCAGTTCGTTTAATTCGCTAAGTTGAACCATATCGGCAACCCCAGTGTCTGTCACCCAGTTAGCATTGGCTTTGGGCGCACTGCAGAATGTTTGGTGCGGACTTCGAGTAAATGTCCTACGTTCTGCAGTGCTCCCGAAGTTCTTTGCCCCGAAAATTCTGCAGTGTACCTGAAGAAAATTCTATATGGGAAGACGACTTCTGGCGCACTGTAGAACTTCCTACAATGCACTTGAAGAAAATACCAGCTGGGGCCATCGGTAATCCACTAGAGTTTCATGTGGTATAACTAAATCAAATGACTTACTCTGTCCTAAACATACTTAGAGTTCCAAGAATACAGAGTATTCGATTGCTATGTGAATAATGGATTAATTGGAATCTTGATAGGATAGACGGCTTTTAGGAGGACTGGGATTATGGAGTGGATTAATATGCAGAGTCAGGAATGTAAACGGATACCAGATTAGTCGCTCAGGGTCTGTAGTGTTGTTGATCACGATAGGCCTCTATAGGTTATCATCGCGTTAGAATCTTGAATCATTATCCATCACCAGCTTTTGCATATTTCTGCAGTTATAATCTCACAATATTGGTACGTCTTGGTCCTTTAATGTAATCCAAGTGTCCAAAGAGTAATGAAATACAAAATCAGGATGAAGTGTGCAACACAATTTGCGCATGTCATTAATTTTTGTGCCTCTTTTACTTAAAGGCTAATCTAAGTAATAATTTATACTACTGTTCTATTTAACGTACCTATATGGCTTTCCTTACTTCAGTTTTTTTGTAGATGTATCGCTTTTCCATATATGTGTAGCAATTCATATTGGCAGCATTAAGGTCATTTGGTTGGTTGGTGGATTGGGTAGACATTGTTTTACGTCCGTTTGCTTGATGAGGGAGACTAGTTAGGTCTATGCCTTCTTCTGCCACAGAGAATTCGTATTTTAGTTTGTTTACAGTTTCTAGTGATATACATATGGTATCTTTTATCACAGGCTTGAAACAAAATGTAGGTTTAACTGTATGACTAACAGATATCGCTGAGGTCAAACTTTTTGTATTATGTATTCGGTATTAATCGAAGTCCGAGAAGCCTGTATCGATTTTTGCAATAGGCATTTCTGAGAGAACCTGGATTTCTTCTCAAATCATTTGTGTAAACAGCTACTACTGCTAGTTCCACTAACATGTTCCAACTATCTCATCAAGGGATGAATGGAATATGAATATTTTGCGGCCCTTTTTGTTCTTTTTCTAGTGACCCTTAGTATAATTAGTTTCAGAAGTAAGTAAATTAAGAAATTCAAATATTTTTCGAGATGTTTCATAAAGATATTGTTCTAAAACAATAGCGGAAGAGCATCATCACAAACTTGGCACTCAAATCCTAAACTTTCTTTCAGAGTGAATCCCCTCTTCAGGTATTATTCTAAGTATGGTCCCATTAAAGCACATGTAGAATTCGGGTCGCCTCAGCCGCAGTCATTGTTCTTAAGCTTTGGCTGACGACAAACCTTATGTACCTTTGTTTCCTAATTCAAAACAGCACTGAGCCACCTAATTAGCACCAATAAAATACTGGCTAGTCAATGCTTGAGGCCTTGGCATTATTGTGAGTAACCATCCGGACTTCGATTCACAAAGATGGTAATTTAAAAATTATCTGCGATTCTTTGGTTTGATATGCTTTGTTTTAATATGCTACCCTTAGAAACTTCACTATCATGTGGTTTGTGCTCAGTCATATTCAGCCTATTTTCACTCTGCTTCGTAAGGTGCAGTTACTCCATTAATCAGTCTCATGTGTCTCTGTCAAAATCAGCAAGCTTTCTCATAATGTTGATATGAAATATGTGTTTTACAAAACATTCTTAAACCTCCAACCTCTGTTACTGTTGTTTAAAGCCATGACTGCATATGTAATTTATCTCTGGCACTGTGTATACGCTGGTAACCACTTAACATTTTAGTAAGCATGCCTCAACTGACTGCCACTTTCACAGATCTGTTCACATAAATCAAAAATGCTTGGCTGATTACTTGTGTGTTCATGTAAACTGGGGTCTTTTTATTCTTTGTGTATGAAGTCCTGAGTAATGAATGATAATAGCTTTATTCCAAAACAGTACTTGCGATACAGAATGGAATTCTCAGCATTTTACTACAGTATTGCACCCAGTTAGTAAATTAACAATAAAATAAAATTCTACATAGATTAAGGGTAATCTCAGTTAGTTTTGACAACAACATATTAGCATGTCGGTAGCAAAGCCAAAATCAAACAATGTTTGAAGGTGCTAGAAAAGTAGGTTCTAGCATGTTTACTGGCGTATGCAGAAGAAAAAAACAAAGCTGCACATAACAGAGAAAAAAGGGAGAGAGAGAAAAGGAAAAGAAAGAAAGAAAACGTTGTACATATAAATGATATGAATTAGAAAGACGGGAATCAGTTGTTCTACTGACTATTTAATAAGTTATAGGTATCACGCCTAATGCTTTCTTTATCGCACAGAACACGAGCTAAGTAGGGTATGGTTGAGTTTTTGTACTTGCTAGTGCGAGCATATAGTTTTCTATATAGGCTTCTGGTTTTGCCTGAAGAGATACAAGGGGAGAGTTGTGAATGAAGATGGTGGTGTTGTGAGTTAGATAAAATGGATTAAGCCCATTTTTCACATGAGTTCAAGTGCCTGTCAACCAGAATATTAATCAGCTGGTTAAGTGGCACGTAGCTTACCCTGCTGACAACCTTTAACATCCTGCATAATAAGGTATAGTCTTTTCTCAGTAGCCCAGGAAAAACTAAGGGGGAACAATGGAGAATAATAGGCAGAATACGGGAGTTAACAAATTGTAGGAGTAAGGGTTGGGTTGGGTTATTCCAGAATGTCTTAACTTCTTGGTGTAGAAGGTAACACGGAATATTTTCTTAGAAATCATCAAGATATGAGACGACCAGGAAAGATCAGGAGATAGAATGACACCAAGGTACTTAATTTCCGACTTGGTTTCTATTTCAGTGCCATCTATGTTGCACACCTCGTGAGTTATAACCAGTTTGTTTAGGTCAGATTTGTGCCTAAAGGTGAAATTGACTGTTTGGCATTTAGAGGGGATTAAGGCGAGACCGTTTTCCTTGGACCATTGGCTGGCTTCTGATAAAAAGCCGTTTAGTTTAGTGCAGTCACTTTGACATTTGACAGACAAAGATACAGTTAGTTCATCAGCATATTTGACAAAATTAATGTCACTTGAAGACGGTAGGTCATGTAGAAAGAAAGAAAAGAGAAGTGGAGAAAGTGCAGTACAGAGTACTCCATAGAAACCTGCTTTTTTGTTTTTTATTACTTCCTATTAACTTGCTGGCATTTTAACGTAAGTTTTTGTCTTTGTGAACACTTAGTACTGTGTTTACTGTTTTATTGACGTTTCTTTTGATGAATTTCTAGTAATCTCAAACAGCCAATATTTGAAATACTGCATGTTAATTAATGTGTATACAAGTTAGGGCATGCTGGAAGATATGCAAGTGAAAAGCAACAAGTCGACAGAAGAAGCCTCAAAGATAGGACTCCAGGTGAACGTAGAGAAAACAGAGGTGATGAAGATTCCTGGCCAGCATCAACAGCAACAGATAACAATCAGCATAAATGGGAGAAATCTCGAAGAAATAACCTCCTTTACCTACCTACCTGGGAAACATAGTTTCAACTCCAGGCGGATGGAAATGATGAGAATATCAAGGCGAAGATCGGGAAAGCAAGGCAAGCTTTCATTTCTCTCAAGTCTGTGTGGAGGTCAACAGCACTTAGCATGAAAAATAAGATCAGAATTTTCAACTCCAATGTGAATTCAATGCTACTGTATGGATCAGAGACTTGACGCTGCGTTGAACAAACTACAGACTTTCATCAACAGCTATCTTCGCTCAAATGGCCAACCAGAAAAGATCAGTGACAGGAAGGAGTCTCTAGCAATGAACGAACCAACCCAACAGGAACCAATTGTCCGCGAAATATGCAGGAAGAAATGGAGATAGGTGGATTGGCCATACTCTGAGAAAACCATCAAGTGACTTCACAAGAAAGGCCCTCGAGTGGAATCTGAATAGAAAGCGGCAAGTTGGTCGTCAGTGCGACGGTGACATGGAGGATGGGTTCATGTGAATAGGAGATGAAAGCATGTGGACAAACGTGGAGCCAATTGAGAACGTCGGCAGAGAACCAAACGCAATGGAGACGTGCGGCTGAAGCCCTATGTTCTAGGAATTAAAGGAAACAATAATAATGAAACAATAAGTTAGGGCATTTTCTATGAGCCATATAAGTGGTATTAAGGCTGAAACTTAAGTAGGCTTGGCAGGATTCAAGCAAGTGGCCTATTTTTTCAAAGCTGAATGTCTATTTCAATGACTCTCAGTTAGTTCACATGCTTATTTAAGATAAAACTAATTTCAAGTATTGGTTTTTGCAGGGATTTTGTTTGATTGGTTGGAAGATTTCATAATCATGAGCTGACATCAGTTAGAAAACTATTGGAAAACTACCTTGGGGTATTGGTTAGCTGTTTCGTCAGCCTAGCTTGGGACTCTTCATCAGTACTCACCCACCGGGGTTCGAACCCAGGTGCTCACTAGTGACTGGCCTTATTCAGGCAGTTACCTGGCGTTCTAGGCGACATCAGGTTGAAGATGAGGCAGTAACTCATCGAAGAAGACACTGCAAGTGGTCGCGCTATGTCATGAATTGACAGAAGTTAGAATTCATGAGAAATTGGATTGGGTCCCGGTGGTTTCTAACCCTCTGTGGTAGGAGTGTGTAGTCGAAGAGCCCCAAACTAGACTGACGAAAAAGCTATCCAGTACTCCCTTGTTAGTTTTCCAGTGGTTCTCTAACCGATGTCAGTTCATGATGAAATCCTCCAACCAACAAAGCGGATTTCCTTTATAAACTTGGTTATATTTCACACTGAATAACTAACATATCTCTTACTATCGATTCGCATATTTATCTTTTGGTTTCAGGAATTCAACCCTGGTGCAGATTTAACTCTTTTCAATGACTCCGATGATGATTTTCTCAATGATGGAATGTTTAATGAATTTGCATCTGAAAGCAGTATCGTGTTACCTTCTAACTTGCCAAAATTATCTCCGAGGAAATCTTGTCCCAGTAAATTCACAACAAAATCTCTTCATCCCACAAAAACAACAACAGTAGTAGCTGAAAATAATCATACATCGAATAAAAGACCTCCTTCTAAACATCGTAAACTTCCAGGTCCTGCAGGTTTACTACCGAAGGTAAACTCTAAAAAAGAAGTTGTATTCAAATTCTGTTCTATTCTTTTTTTTCCTCTTCTTTTAGCTTCATGAGCAAACGAATCATAAACAGCGTTCATCAGTGAAATTAAAATCGCCTAAAAGGGTATTAAAATTAGTCTAGTTGTTTTTGATGTCCTATTTTTTTAAATTTCAAACTTTAATTTTAGAATAAAGATAATCCCTTGTTTGATTCACCTGAAAGATGTTCGCTATCAACATCATTATCTGAAAGTCAGTCTACGTCTAGTCAAGGCGAAGAAGCTGCTTTACTTAATCGAGTCCAACTGGAATGTGGTTCAACTGTATGGTCAGTTATCGAAAAATATTCTATAAAAGGAATCTTAAAAATGGTAGTACTACTCTTGTTTTCTTTTAAATGTTGTACATTTTTGTTTTTGTCTTAGATTACATCTAATCAGTTACCAAGAGGTAAAATACCAGTGATGTGCGGCTTTCTTGATGAGATAGAACTACTACCAACTGATGCTAAAGCTTTACTGAAAGATAATTCAGGTAGGTGAAATATAAACGAAAACGACTATGACTGTTGTGTTTTTGTATTTTAGGAGTTCTAGGTTGTACAATTCATCGTTCTGTTATCAAAGAGTATAAAAATTATCTAGGCTGTTGTTCTTTACTACTGCTAAAACAGGTATGATATAATTATTAAAAATTTTGTTTGCGTTAAACTTGTGATGTACTTCTGTACTTTTGTTTTGGACATTAGTTAGTAACTAGTGTAATGTGCGTGTCTAGTGCAGACTGAATTCTATCAGTCAGCCAGGCTTGCAATGTGGCCAATATGGCACTAGGTGGCTTGCCGTCACGATGCACTTTGAATAGTTGATATTAGATGGTCGGAGGTAATCGACCACATGAAGCCCCCACCCCGCTTGACCTGCGTTTCGTGCTATTTGGGACTCTATTTGTCAGTCACCTAGATGTATCTGCAACCTTGAATAGACTCATGTCCCTTCTGGGATTCTAACCTGCGTCACCCAGTGCTACCTGCAGTCATAGTTGACGTTACCACTGAGCTATTGGAGCTCGCCATTGACCTTCTGTACGACTGTATTGGATGCTTTTGATTGAACACTAGTCAGTAACTAGTTTAGTGTATCCAGTCCCTTGTTTGGTGCAGACTGAATTCTATCAGTCCAATTCTGTCTATCTACTAAAGTTGTACAGAAGGTCAATCGCGAGCCCGAATAGCTCAGCGGTAGCGTCTCTAACTGCAGGCGCCACTGTGTGACGTGGATTTGAATATCAGAAGGAAAGTGAGTTCCTTCGAGGTTGTAGATACGCCTCGCTGACTGACCAGTGAGTGCCAACTAGCACGAAGCCTAGGGCAAGGAGGGTGGCTTCCTGCGGCCGATTGCCTCCAAACCATCTAGTACCAACTATTCAAAGATGTACTTCTGTTCACGATGATTTATTCTTCAGTTTTTCTCTTATCTGACAGAATCCAACATTGTAGCTTGTCTGTCTGTTTGCAACATAGAACTCTGCACCAGTGTACAACAGTTCAAGTTGCCACACTCCATGTAGCGCACAAAGCAAGAGAATAAAGTAGAAGAAATGCGAAACAGAGACAGTAAACAAGGATATGAGACAAAAGGAATAGTAATAACGAAGAACTATATAGTTTCATTGAATATTATAAGTCACAAGGAGTGAATGCATCTTCGCCAGCCATTGAGAACGATCACTTTGAGCCATATGCCCGATTGCCTCCAGCCTTCATTGGTTCTTACCGTCCCGAGGACCCGAGGAGGAAGTCTACACCTCCCTATGTTACTGGCTTAAACAAACTTTTGTGGATTTCATCGACTGATGAAGCCATGTTTTGGTTTGACCACTACTAGTTCTTTTCCAACCTGGTCCATCCTATATCAGCTAACATCGTTCGTCGGTCGAGGAAGGCTATGGATAGGGATGCATGCGTAACACATGTCCTAACCATCTCAGTCGGTGTAGCTTCACAGTCTCGTCGATTGATTTCCTTCTCCTCCTTACCCACCTAGCACTCGACCGATGCGTAACCTCAATATTTCCCACCCCATTATATCGCTTCACACGAGAGATATTCTAGCTTAGCATCTAATTGATCACATCTCATGTTTTTCATCTTATGGTAGACAGTAATTATAGTAAAACTGAACAGATGAAAATGTTATGACTGAAAGTTTCTAAAATGCCTGAAAACAAATAAGTTAGGATGAAATTATGGTGTTTTAACTAGAGGAAGCATTTTTGCTTCTCAGACTAGTGATGAATCATAACATGTAGCCTCAATTCATCGTTTTCCAAGTATACCTCAACAACGAAATCTTTATTCCTCCGTCTGGCCCAGACAAGGTTGGTTTGTATGCGTCAAACACTGAGCATATGGTAGGGGATGTAACAATGTGAACACCACTGTACGATACTTTCAATTGTTTTTTTAAAAGTCTTACTCCCAGTTATATTGGTATGTAAAGGTAGCACAGTGTTTCTCACATCAATTCCCTCATATTTATTGTTATAGAGATAAAACATTGTTGTTCACAGTGGATCATGTGTTGTGAGTAACGAGTTTCTTAAAGTTAAAACTATAAAGTAAATAATTTTGTGACCCTAAATGTCTTTTTTAAAAGGTGAGTGTCTTTTGTCTTTGAAATTTATAATGGCCATTAAATGTAATCCGTTTTCCCATTTTGGACATTTCTTAAAACAATCTACCTCCAAAGCATTAGTACTAGAAGTGCTAATTTTTACTGTTTGACAGCGTCTATTGATTCAGAGCACTCATCCCCATCCATTTATAGTAGTCCTAACAGCTTTATTATTATTATTGTCCCGGTGGGTTCCGATTTGAACACGGGGTTTCAAGAGCGCACTCCACTGCATGCTGTCCTATGCAGTCTTTCTCAGCTGGTCTACTCCTTGTTACCCTCGGATGCCCAAGTGTTGTCTTTTCTTATTCGGGTTCCATTTGACGTCCCGGCGAATGATGTCTCTCGACGGTTTCCGATCTCTGTTCCCTTCATCCTATTTGTTGGACAGTTGACTGTTAGTTGGTTTGATACGAGAGTTCCTTGTTGTTAATCCTTCCTGGTCATATAATTTCCATCATCGGAGTGGAGTGAGCAGTTGTTGATGAAAGTCTTCGTCCAAAAGAGGTTGAGCATTGTGTCGGTCGGGGATCGAACTAAAAACCACTTGCTTGGTTGGAGAGTGTTCTACCACGGGAACCGCACCTATGCACGTTTATCTTTTACCCCCTCGCCTGCCTTATTATCAAGCTTTTTAATTAGATAAGCTTTGAAGTGTATTCGTAGTGGAGAACGCCTAAATATTTCAGAAGAATTTACCTTTTATTTTTCATTACTTGTTGGTTCTTCAGCGAAGATTCTACTGATATCATGATGGATGTTTCTTTAATTTTCAGAAACAAGGCATCTTTTGATTGGACACTAGTAACTAGTGTGATGTGTAGACTGAATTCTATCAGTCAGGTTTGTAATGTGGCCACCATTCTAGGTAGTTCACCATCACGGTGCACATTGATTTGATGATATTAGATGGTTGGAGGCAATCAGTGGTAACGTCTCTGACTGCAGGTAGCACTGGGTGACGCAGTGGGTTCGAATCTCAGAAGTGATATGAATTCCTTCAAGGTTGCAGATACGCCTTGCTGACTGGTGAGCGCCAACTAGCACGAAACCTAGGTCAACCAAGGCTTCCTGTGACCGATTGCCTCCAACCATCTAAACAAGGCATCTGTTGATCATAGTTTCACTCTCTCCATGGATAGTGAGTTTCCATGGTTCACAGATGCTCAGTGCTATTCAATTTGTATGTGATCTCTCATATAAACTCACTATTCAATATAATCACTACCAGTCTTGTCTTACCTAAATCTTTAGGTTAGTATTTTCAGTCCAACTGGCAAAAAATTCTACGCTAATATAACACTTTCAAATATTGTGAAAATTTACACTCCTGAAAATGCCATCCCTAATTCTTCATTAAATGGTCAACATGCACTGGCGAACTTTCCTCCTGCTTCCCCGCTATCTATACCTGAAGTAGAAACTTTAGAAGCTGACTGTTTGAGACCTCCAACACCACCGTCGTCTTCTAACAGAGTATCACTGTCTCCCATCTCTAAACCAGTGTAAGTCTGTTTTTTTTTAATGTGATCATATTATTGTTATTATTTATTATTATTATTTCCTTTAATTCCTAGAGGAACATAGGGCTTCAGCCTCTCACGTCTCCATTGCGTTCGGTCCTCTGCTAACTTTTACACCCCGCTCCAAGTTTGCCTACACGCTTTCATCTTCTCTTCACATGACCTCCTCCAAGTCACCCTCTCACTGACGACCAACTTGCCGCTTCCCTTTCGGGTTCCACTCGACCGATGGCTTGTCTAGTGATGTCACTTGATGGTTCACTTCCTCAGAGTATGGCCAGCCAATCCACCTCCATTTCTTCCTGCCTATTTGTTGCAAAATCGGTTTTCTCCCAGAGATCCCACCCTGTTGATGATCTTCTCTGGCCATCTGATCTTAAGTAGCATTGAGCGAAGATAGCTGTTGATGAAGGTCTGTAGTTCGTTTGAGATGCTCTTTATGACGTGCCAAGTCTCTGATCCGTATAGTGAGTGGCACTGACTTACTTCACATTGGAGTTGAAAATCCGGATGTTATTTTTGATGCTGAGCGCTGTTGACCTCCACACAGAATTGAGATTAATGAAGCTTGTCTCGCTTTTCCGATTCTTGCTTTGATATCCTCGTCAGTTCCGCCTGTAGTTGAAACGATGCTTCCCAGGTATGTTGGTAGATAAAGGAGGTTGTTTCTTTCAGATTTCTCCCATTTATGCTGATTGTTGTCTGTTGTTGTTGCTTTTGGCGTTCGCCAGGAATCTTCATCACCTCTGTTTTCTCTATGTTCACCTGAAGTCCTATCTTCTCTGGATGCTTCTTCTGTCAACTTGTTGCTTTTCACTTGCATATCTTCCAGACATATATTATCGGCGAAGTTCGGATCCTCCAAGTTTTTTGTGTGAGTGCATTTTATGCCTGTCTCCTCATTGCCCGCTGTCTGTCGCATTATCCAATCTACTACAATCAAGAAAATCATTGGCGATAATAGTGTAATTATAAATTCTTCGTTAATTGCTTATGTTGCTTATTTCACTGGTAAAGTGTATTCGCTGTATGTGTTGTACACATTACAATAATTCGTGCTATAAGTTATATATATATATATATATATATATATATATATATGTATATGTGCTTTCGTATCTTCACTCCACAGCTGCACAGTTATTTAGTCTGTTTGTGTATGTAAAAGGTTAACTGACAACAAAGGTCACAGGTTATTGTCAGTTAAATAAGAAAATAAGTCAGCGTTTGAGAAATATGTGTGTGTGTGTGTGTGTGTAATACATGGGCACTGTGGTAGTGTGTTATTCGATATTGATTTTCAAGAGTTGGTTTGTAAGGAATAGATTTGTTTTTACGAGTTTGACCACGGATTGATATCAGTTAGAGAACCATTAAAAACCATCAGTGGAGTACTGGACAGCTGTTTCGTCCTAGTTTGGGAATCATCGGCAGTACTCACCCACTACCAGAGTTCGAACTCAGGACCCTCCGGTTACAAGACAAGCTTGTATTTCATTCAGCCATTGGGACCCGATTCAATGGCCAGTGCATGAATTCTAACTTCTACCAATTCGTGATTTGGCGTGACCCCAACCAATTTTATCGGTGGAAAACCCATCCACACACTTGACCGATTGGGACCTCACTGATCAAGACTTCTCACTAGAACTCCAGGAAACTACATCCGTCCTGTAGCAAGTCACTAGCGAACATCAGATTAATTTTCAAGAGTTTGGTTTGTAAGGATTAGATTTGTTTTTACGAATTCCCATTGGGAAATGTAAAAAAATCAAAACAAGTAATTTAGGGAAGAGACTCTTTTCAACGAATTTATTATCGCACTGTACAATCATATATATGCATATGGTTTTTGTAAGAAATTATGTTCGGTGAGCGAATTGAATCAAAGGTGTAAATGCATAAAATAATTAATATGAAATGCAATTAAAACTAAAATGTTTGTGATTATACTCATAGTTAAATATCAAGTGGCAAAACAATTAATGTCATGTATAGAATAATTCATAGGATGGATAGAACTTGAAAAAGGGTGTGCAATTATAGGATTAGTAGACAAATCGAATAAAATAAAAAAAAATGATACGTAATATTGTGTGAAATTTGATAGCATAGAATTTAACGTTGTAAAAAAGAATTGACTTAGAATGACAAGTGGAACAAGTGAAATAATACCGTGGACAGTTCAGAGTGAGAATAGTAATAATAACAATCGACGTAATAAGGAAGAGTATACAAAATGAACAAAATGAAAAATTGGTAGAGCTAAAATATGATTGGGGATTACCATACTTTAGCATAGAGGGATTAAGACCATGAAAGTTGGAGGGGTTGAATGAACTTTTTCTGTACACAGAGATCTGGCTTTTCTGTTTCGATGGCCAAAGCTTCAGTCATACGGATGATTCGGATACGTTGTGATTCGGGTAAATTACTTTTGTAGATGACTTTAAAGGCGGAGGCTAGAGAGGGAGAGAGAGAGAGAGGGTGATCATTATCGACCAGATGTTCAGTGATCACGCTTCTTATAGCTTCACTTTCACCTCTTCGTAACCATTCAGGATAGTGTTCTAGCACCCTCTTGGACAAAACTGGAGTCGAACGACCTATGTACCTAGCTCCACATGAGGAGGTGAATTGATAAACACACACAGGGAGTTGGTCAACTGAGGGATCTTGTCCTTCAGGTTATTGAATAGCAACAGTCGACTAAAGAACGCAATTCTCAACGATGCTCTACTTATTTTTCCTTTAGTTTATTCAATTTGTCCACTCTTCCTTTATTACGTCAATATTTACTATTATTATCCTCATTTTTAATTGTCCCCGGCAATATTTCACTCGTTCCACTTGCCATTCTAAATCAATTCTGTTTTGTAACGTTAAATTCTATGTTATCAAAATTTCACACACTGTTACGCAACGTTTTTATTTTATTCGACTTGCCTACTAATCCTATAATTTTACACTCCCAACATCTACACATCCTAAGAACTATTCTATATGTTAGACATTAATTGTTTTGCCACTTGACATATAACTATGATTTCTACGGTTGCGTACCCATTGGTCGAAAACCTGACTCGATCCAATCCGATCGCTCGCCACTCACATTCGGCGTCCTGGTACTGTGGAGGAAGAGTTAAATCTTTTAAGAAAAATCCTAATAGAATATGGATTTCCTCCATGTTTTATAGACAAAAATATACAGTCAAATCCTATGAAATATGAATTACCATCCGTAACTAGGGAAATACTGTACATGACTTTCGAATTCAAAGGTGACTTAGCTTTCGAGATCATTAGAAGAAGGATCTCACAGTCCCTGAAAGAAACATCCTCTGCTGCATTGTTGAGAATAGCGGTTTCCAGTCAATCATTACAGAACCGTTTAGTTGACCAACTCTTTATGTGTGCTTACCAAGTGACCTACTTTTGAGGAGCTAGGTACATAGGTCGTTCGACTCCAGTTTTGTCCAAGAGGGTGCTAGAACACTATCCTGAATGAATGGTTACGAAGAGGTGGAAGTGGAGCAATAAGAAGAGCAATCACTGAACATCTCGTCGATAATGATCACTCTGTCCTTACAGCCTCCATCATTAAAGTAATCGACAAGGCAAAAAGTAATTTGCCCAAATCACTAGGTATCCGAGTCATCTGTATAGCTGAAACTTTGGATATTGAAAGAGAAAAGTCGGATCTCTGTTCGCAGAAAAAAAATTGGTTCAACCCAGCCCCCCCCCACCCCCACCCTCTCAACTCTCATGGTATCACTTTCTTTATATACTGGATAACGTTTCACTTTGTAATATATAGAACAAACAAATCATGTAGGGTAGATAACAATGTGTGAAAAACTGTGAATAATCCTATGTCGTCGAAAAAGTTGACAAATAATTAGCTAATTGATGAATAATCATTCAGAAAAAGTCGATAGGATACAAGAGAGCAGGAATGAAAATAGGTTATTTCTTTGTAATTTTGTTATCCACTTTAAAAAAATGATACTCGATGCTCATATTACTCCAGAATACTTGTTATATCCGTGGTCTAGACATTTATAAGTTGCATATTACGTTTTGGATCACCTGCCAAGTGCCACTGTTATATAGTTGTTAAATGAGTTCTACCAAAAGCTGTCTAGTTTGGTGCGAAAGGCTAAACGCTCAGACATAGTCGTTCTAGCTGGTGACTTTAACGCTCAAGTAGGGAAATTGTGTCAATCTGAGAAGGATGTCGGTGGCACCTATGGAGTTCCGTGCCAGCGAACCGACAACGGTGACCGTCTCCTACAGTTCTGCTCTGATAATCATTTGTTTCTTGTAAGCACTAACTTCAAACACAAGGAGAGACACTGTTTGACTTGGAGACCCCCTTCATCAAACCAACGCTGGACACAAATAGACCACATAGCAATAAGCTATCGTTGGCGTGGGTCGGTAGGAGATTGTCGCTCCTTCTGGAACACGTGCGTAGATACCGACCATGCACTGGTCCGCGCTCGGGTGTGCTTACGACTGAACGGACGTAGGAAACAGCTGGCGGTAAAACCATCACGTCCCCAGCTCGATCAGGAAACTAAATCCGTATTTGAGGAAGAACTAGCTAAACACATATCTGTGTTCGACAGCTGTGCTCACCCTGAAGAAGCTTGGAAAAATATCCAGGCAGCCATAGATACAGCTGTAAAAGCTGTGAATAAGGTAAACCCAAAGGTGAGTAAAAACCACTGGATCTCCACCGCCTCATCCGAACTGATAGATGCTAGAAGACTTATTCCGGCGAGCTCCGAATTCAATGAGGAGCGAAAGCTGCACAAGAGGAAACTTACGAAAAGTCTCCGCAAGGACCGTGAACAGTGGTGGGCGACAAAAGCCAAAGAGATGGAGAAAGCTTCGAGGATAGGCAACACCAGGCAACTCTTTGGACTCATCAGGGAAACGGGTGGGAGAAGACAAATCATTAGTGAGACAATCTCGGAAAAAAATGGCACTATAATTAGCTCCCAGGATAGACGACTGGATCGTTGGAAAGAGCATTATGAGGAGCAGTTTAATTTGCCCACAGCCACGCTCAACCTTCCGAGCATCCAACACCTCCCTGAATGGGATATAGACACAGGTCCTCCGTCACTAACTGAGGTTACTAAAGCTGTCACCAATCTGAAACTAGGCAAAGCAGCGGGACCTGATGGAATGACTCCAGAGGTATTTAAGTACGGTGGAGACAGCTTACTGTCCGGATTAACTGAGGTACTAGGCAGCGTCTGGGAATCAGAAGAAGTCCCATCGGGTTGGTGTAAGTCACTGATTATCCCCATATACAAGAAGGGAGACAAGTCTTCCTGTGATAATCACAGAGGGATTAGCTTGACTAATATAGTATCTAAAGTCTTAGGCTCAATAATCATGCGTAGACTGAGTGGTGCTCGGGAAGCACAAACACGAGAGAGCCAGGCAGGCTTTAGACCAGGAAGAGGGTGTATTGATCATATCTTCACCCTCCGACAGATTCTAGAACATAGGCATTCCTACCGGCGTCCAACAGTCATTATATTTCTTGACCTAAAGGCAGCATTCGACTCTGTCGATCGGGAAGTTCTCTGGAGATGCTTGGCTGTAAAGGGAATTCCAAGAAAATATATTGCACTGATTAAGGCACTCTACTCGTACTCATACAGCCAGGTGAGGGCTTACGGCGAGCTGTCATCTGAACTGATGACGACCAGTGGTGTCCGTCAAGGATGCCCATTATCTCCTTTTCTATTCAACTTCATCATAGATGTGTTAATGGACTTAACCCTAGGTGACTTCAGCGACTCAGGGATTGACTTGCTACCGGGGAATAATCTCGTTGACTTGGAATATGCAGACGATATAGTCCTTCTAGGCGAAGACGCTGACGAAATGCAGAGTCTTCTAAACACCTTGAGCCGCAATCTACGAATGTTTGGCATGCGATTCGCTCCCGCCAAATGCAAGATGATGTTACAGGACTGGACTACATCGACGCCTAGTTTAAAAATAGGAAGTGAAGTGGTAGAGCACGTTGACCGCTTCACTTATTTGGGAAGTACCATCAGCCCCAACGGGCTGATCTCTGACGAAATCTCAGCACGAATACAAGGGGCTCGTTTCGCATTTGTTAGTTTACGCCGACTCTGGCGTAGACGAGATGTTCGACTATCGACCAAAGGGCGGGTGTACTGCTCATCAGTCCGCTCCGTCCTCCTTTATGGTTGTGAGACCTGGCCACTGAGAGTGGAAGACATGAAAAGACTAGCTGTCTTTGATCATAGGTGCCTGCGTTCTATTTCCCGTGTAAAGTGGCATAATAAGGTGAGCAACATGGAGGTTAGGCGTAGAGTTCTAGGTAAACAGGGGAAATCAATCGACGAAGTCGTGAAGCTACAAAGACTGAGATGGTTAGGACATGTGTTACGTATGCCAAGCCATCGCCTCCCTCGACGAGCAATGTTAGCGGATATAGGGTCAGGCTGGAAAAAAGCTAGCGGCGGTCAAACAAAAACTTGGCATCAGTCAATGAAATCCACAACAGTTGGTCTAAGCCACGTAGGAAGGTGTAGACTTCCAGGCTGGGGTCCTCGGGACGGTAAAAATCTATGGTTGGAAACAATTGGTGACATGGCTCAAAATCGTTCTCAGTGGCGCAGATGCATCCACTCCCTGTGACTTATGATCTCCAATGAAACTGTTTTGTATTTCTTTATTACTCCTTTGTCTCACACCTCTGCTCACTGTTTCTATTATGCTTTTCTTGTACTTTCTTCTCTTGCTTCGCGTGCTACACGGAATGTGGCGACTTGAACTTCCGCACATTTGTGCAAAGTTCTATGTCGAAAACAGACAGACAGACAGTTGTTAAATGAGGTTCATAAAGATTTGGCGCACTGCACTCCATAGTGTTGAAGTAATTTCCAACTAACTTCTTGGTCGATGCTGTCTGTCGAAAGCCTTTTTCGTAATCGATTAAGTTGAAGCAGAGGTTTGACTGTCATTCTATGCTCTGTTCTGTGATGATGATGATGATGATGCGTAGAGTTGCAATTGGATCAGTACATGGTTTATCTGTCCTGAAGGTAGCTTGTTCCGGGTGGAGTTCTGTATCCAGTGCATCTTTTATTCTCTCCACTAAGATGCGACATAGTATTTCACTTGTCGTGGGCAAGAGCATTATTCTGTACCAGTTCTTGTGGAGACGTAAGTCGCTTTTCTCTGCTCGTTTGACAAGGTAGCCAACCTTTCTTCCAATCGGTAGGTACCTCTCCTTCCTTCTTTCCAAACTTATTGCAGATAGAAATTGCAAGCAACATAATTCCAAAAATGATATACGTAGATAGATTTTTCAGTGTTAAAACGTTAACTACTAAAGATATAGGTAGACAAGAGGAGTGTGTGTCGAGGAGAGGGGGTGGGTGGGTTAGAGTTCAGATTTCGCTTGGAAACAAGGATTGATTAAAGATAAAATATCAGATCAAACAACAAGGCCGATTTATGCATGTTATGATGGAAAGTTCAGGAGGTTAACATTGAATAGTGAAGTAAAATTATGACACAGACAAATGACTAGGTAAATTCGAAAACTTAATTTTGAGTTCAACTCAGTAAATGAAATTTAATTATCAGAGTTATTTGGAGTGGTAAGCAACGATGAAAAAATATAACACAAGGAAGGGAACTATTGACATTCTTTAAAAAAGCCTAATTTAAGCACTTGCTACTTTGTAATTTCGTAATCATTTTGGTAAAACTGCACTTTTCGATACTAGAATCAGCTATGAACTGCTTCACAACCCGAGCCTAGACAATTCTACAAACCCAAGTGGTCTTTGGTTACAAGAATTGGTAGTGTGTGCTCTGCGAACCTGTTACTCAGTTGTTTTAGTTTTAGAATTTTTCACAGGGATTGATCACATGTTGACATCAGTTAGAGAACTATTGGAAAACTTGGGAGTACTAGACGACTGTTTCGTCAGCCTATTTTTCAACGCTTAAGCAGTACGCATCCTCTGCCAGAGTGGTTCGAACCCAGGACCTTCCGGTTACGAGGCGACCTCGTAGACTGTCCATTCATTGGGACCCACACTGGTGGTTCATGAAGTCTAACTTCTGCCAATTCATGATTTTAGTGCGACCACCAACCAGTGTCATCCGTGGCTAGTATTTATCCTCACTCCCGATCTGGTGGACCCCACTGGTCACGAATTCTCACTAGGACTGCTGGCAGAGGGTCCTGACGTTAACTGTGCTCCTATATGAAGTTGGCGACGTAGCTTTAAAAGGTTATCTGTGGTGTTTTTATGGCTCTCACCGTTGTTTGTGGTCACAGGTTGAAGTGGAGATGACTCACTAGCCTGAAGAATAGTACTAACTGTAGTAGAGAGGCAAGATGCGGAAGGTGATGTGAGTAAAGGAGAATGAAGGCTTCGTGTGCTTTTGGAAGTGTGTGGGCGGTTGTTACTTCCCGTGGAAGTTGATTGCTTCTTCGGGTACCTGAAACAGAGAAAGGGTTAGTGTTGCGTGACCGCAGAGCCCAGGGGACAACCGCTTGATACTAGCCAGTCACACACGGCCTGTATGAGCTGGTTTCTGGGTTTGGTTCCCAATTTGTAAACTTACCGCCGGTTATGGACCACTGTAGGGTAAAAGTCGGGATGTACAATTTTTGGGGTCGACCTTTTCTGATCCCCTCTCTCCGGAGTGGAGAGACAGCATAGCTGGCTGGCTGGTATGCTGGTCATCTGAGGGAAACACCTGACTGCTGTTCCCCAGCAGTATGACTTCGCCCTCAGACCCCTAGCATAGTATAACAAAGATTCTTACACCATTCCGGTAACTGCTTTTACTCTAATCGCTATCCTATCAACCTTCCTGGCAGGCATGGTGAGACCTGCAGAAACATTGGTTCCAGCCAGCGTAGCTTGTTGGGTCATCGCTATGTGTAAGCCCGGCGACCACCACGTCAAGGTAGCAGCTATCGGTCGGATAAGTAATTTCGTCCTTTAGGGGAGCATCAGACTAATTTTCAAATGCTAGTTTGTAGGGATATGACTTGTTTCAAGTTCGGTCATGGATTGGTATCAGTTAGAGAACCATTGGAAGCCTCCAGTAGGGGAGAATCGGACACATATTTCGTCGTAATTTTGGTCCCAAACTAAATTTGTCTATGATACTTAAGACCCTACTTTACTGATGTAAGTGGGGTAAGTGGTATTCACTTGATACTACCTCCTGTTAGCCGATAACCATATATCTATCTGTTTTACACAGGTAGGTGAATTTTTTTTTGTTTTTGTATAACTCGTGCCTTTACTCGAATTAATGCCAGATTTTTTCAATAAATTTTCTTTTTTTTTCAGTTCCTCTTATCGAATACAACCACAAGTTAAAAAGTCAACATTCACTACAACTTCTGAACAAATAACTTCAAAGAATTTCACTCCTCGATCAATTAAATCGCCTGGTGGTGGTTTAGGCGCATTATTAAAGTGTACTTCACTTCCAGTGAACAGTGTACCGACGAATTGTGATAATAATAATAATGATGATGATGTTGATAATAATAGTAATAATATCAATTTTGATCAAATCAGTTTTAGCCCACTTGTCAATACAGGGGATGAACCGCACAATACTACTGCTAATACTACTATAACTAATACTACTTCAATGGATACAACTGGTCTCTTAGAAGATGGTAATTAAGTTGCTTTATTTATTTATTTATTTATTCTTTTGTTTGTCTGTTTGTGATACGACTTTTAATCATTATTTGAATATTTAGAGCGAAAAATTCACCGCGGAAAAGTTAAACTTTAAGCACCACTAGCTAACAACCAATCAGCAAATGACCTCGAACGCACCAATCACGTGAAAGAGGCATTTTTGTGTATGAAATGTACATATATATTCATGGAAAAAAAATGCATAAAACTGTAGAAAAGTGTTACATAGGGGGATACCTTTTGCTCACATGTGATTAAAAATAGCTCTCAGTTTTAGCTTGGAGTATATCAACATAGTATAATCACACTGCGGGTAAAATTTAATTTCAAGTCGTGGAAAATACCCATTGGAACATTCGATTCTAAAGAACAAAAGGTTTAGCATAGATGACTATCTTTTCGGCGATTTCATTCTCAAACGCTGTACAATCGCATTTATATCGATTAGTTTACATGGATACAATCATTATTTTGTCAAGTGTTGGTTTTGTAGGGATTTGGTTTGATTGTATGGAGGATTTAATCATGAGCTGACATCAGTTAGAGAACCACTGGAAAACCTGGGAGTACTGGACAGCTGTTTCGTCCTAGGACGAAACAGCTGTCCAGTACTCCCAGGTTTTCCAGTGGTTCTCTAACTGATGTCAGCTCATGATTAAATCCTCCATACAATTAAAATTATTTCGCCAGTTACCAAATAATAATTTTGCATACGTTTTAACTGTTTTCTAATCCTATGCAATCTTGTCTCTAAGCCCCTTGTAATCTATATTCCTACCTTCAAACTTTTGTATCAAGTTGAAAATTATGATCACCCCCTCGTAACTATGTGGAATTAATTTAACAAATAATAATTGTATCCATGTAAACTAATCTATATAAATGCGGTTGTACAGCTACATTTGAGAATGAAATCACCGAAAAGATAGTCATCTATGCTGAACTTCTTGTTCTTTTCAATTTAAAATTTATTTTGATGAAGCTTCATGGTGTTATACAGTAATATTTACTGAGAAATAAACGGTGCTCGAAAAGTGGTCATCAGTAAATATTACTGTATAACACCACCATGAGGACTTATCAAAATAAATTTTACCCATAATGGAATTATACTCTACCACAACTACAGTGCACAAGTTCTATTCTTATATCAACAGAGTAATTTAACGACATTCTGTGCATGTAATTATTATCTAGGTCTTCTAAACCTAACAGTTAACCTGATCTTTCTTGAACCTAACCCTAACGTAAAAATATGCCTAAACTAACCCTCATCTAACTTGAACTAACGCTAATGTCGCGTTTATTAGGTTAACCTAACCCTAACTCATCGTTGGCTTAAAGCGTACCTTAATCTTTCCCAAACCTAAGCTAAAACTTCCCAGATATCCTATTTAATAGCATATAACACCTCGATGAGCATATTTTTGATTAATGATGACAACAGTTACAACATTACGAGGACAGAAAGAAGAGCATACTTCCGACTTTCTGAACATGTGCCGAGAGGCCTACGTCTTAAGGGAACAAACTCTTTTGATAGCGCTATTACCAGACATCTCCTTGATACGGATTGTCTTTAGCCTCATCCCCCTTTTATAATCTGTAATTTTGCTTGTCTCTTGTTTCTATGATTTGAGTTGAACTCAGTACATTGTTACCTAATTTTATTAGTCACTCTGCATCTTACGCATCTCTCGTCTTTCAGTTACGTAACTCCTTTGTAACCGTTATATGCATACATTTATTTTGTTTAAACTTGAACTGCTTGTGTAAAAACTATATAAGCACAATTTTCTGAGCACTGTTCACTAATTGTGGAACCTTCTGTCAACTGACATCCTGAAAAAAAATGTTGCAAGTATGTTAAAACTGTTTCTGTACATAAACCTCATAATTTATTTAAGCTGTAAGCAAGCAGCTGATGAGAAGCCAACGAAATAAACAAAGGATGGTACCATTTTATTATTCTGCACAAACCACACTGTTGTTCCTCTTGCTTTATTCAAATTCATCAAGAGGAATAAATGCAGAAAGGGTGAATGTATGTCCTTCTGAGGATATCTGAATCCTATTAAGATCTTGGTTGCTGTCTCTTTCCCTCACTTCCTCGTTGTGAAGCCTAAATTTAGCGAGAACTGTTTACCTAACACTATATATATGATATAAGATATGGAAGTGAAGAGCAACAAGTTGGTAGAAGAAGCATCAAAGATAGGACTTCAGGTGAACTTAGAGAAAACAGAGGTGTTGACGATTCCTGGGCGACAACAACAGACAACAGTCAGCCAGTATAAATGGGAGGAACCTGAAAGAAACAACCTCCTTCACCTAACTGGGAAGCGTCGTTTCAACTACAGGCGGATGGAACTGCACAAGAGGATATCAAAGCAGAAAGGATCGCGAAAGCAAGACAAGCTTTCATTACTCCTAAGTCTGTGTAGTGGAGATCAACAGCACTGCTCAGCATGGAAATGAAAATAAGATCCAGATTTTCAACTCCAGTGTGAAATCAGTCAGTGCTACTTACCATACGGATCAGAGACTTGGCACCGTGTCACGACGGCCACTTCGATCAAACTACACACCTTCATCAACAGCTGTCTTCGCTCAATACTACTCAAGATCAGATGGCCGACCAGAAAAGATCAGAAACAGGGATCTCTGGCCGTGAGCAAACCAAACAGGAACCGATTTTGCAACAAATAGGCAGGAAGAAATGGAGACGGATTGGCTGGCCATACTCTGAGGAAACAAATCATCAACTGAAATCACTAGAGAAGCCATCGCTCGAGTGGAATCCGAACAGGAAGCGGCGAGTTGGTAGTCAGTACGAGGGTGACTTGGAGGAGATCATGTGAAGAGGAGATGAAAGCGTGTGGGCAAACTTGGAGCGGAGTGAAAAAGTTGGTAGAGGACCGAACGCAATGGAGACGTGAGCGGCTGAAGCCCTATGTTCCTCTAGGAATTAGAGGAAATAATAATAATAAAAATAATAATATATATTCCCTTGTTAAATCGATTTGTTTTTCTCGTTTTTCTCTGTCGTAGATATGGATGATTTATTGTCCAGTATAGCTGATGAAATTCCTTAATGTCGACAAGCACCAGTAGCACAGAGGAGTGGATTGCATATCTACAGAACAAGAGGAATGTATCGGAAATGTACTCTTAAGATTACCGCTATACATCTGGCTATTTTTTTTCAGACAATAATCTTCTGCTTCTTTGCATAGTCTTTATTATGATTAACTATTGTGTTTGTATATATCATTGTAAATAAATAAGTGGGAATGAATATTGTGTTCTACACTAAGTGTGTGTGGGTCAGTGTTAATGCTTTCCGTGTTGTGTGCACCCGGTGGTGGTGATGGTGATGATTCACCGCTAGAATGTGATCGCCAACCACACCTGATGTGCTCCAGGATGTTCTATCCAAGGCCAATGCACACCCCTGAACCTCTAAGCTGGTAGTAGTAAGGCTGATAAAGAGGGAAGGGTGGGCGTGAATGAGGCTAGCAACTCCATCCCGTAGAAATAAGAAAAAACCTACTGCTACCGAAACTTGAAGCCCTCTATGTTCCATTGGGGGAATGTAAAGGAACTGAACAAACCATATTCCACTGAATATATAGATATTTCAAAATCTCATGCTTATTCATCAGCATGTTTAGGCGTTGTTAAACCTTTTATTTTTTTTATTTTTTTTTGATTTGATTCCACATGTATTTTGTACAAGTATGGATTTTCAGCATGGATATCGGTAGCCCAAATTTTTCAGGCCGACCATTATCAGTGTGCGCCGGTGTGGGCTCGAACCCGGACCATGTGCATGGTCGGCGAAAGTACTAACCACTGTGCCACCGACGCAGTCAATCAATAATTAAAAAACCTTTCCAACAATATAGAAAACGATAAGCTCAGGCCGAAATGCGACAAACGCGAAATCACTCGCACAGCCGAAGACATTGCCTAGCGGTTGCGCTATGTCGTGAATTGGCTGGCCATTGGAATGGGTCCCAGTGGCTTAATGCTCTCGCTACGAGCTCGCTAGCCTTGTAACCAGAAGGTCCTGGGTTCGAATCCTGGTGGGTGCGTGCTGATGAAGAGACTAAAACTAGGCTGACGAAACAGCTGTCGAGTACTCCCTGGCAGGTTTTCCAATGGTTCTCTAACCAACGTCAGCTCATGATGAAATCCTGAAACCAAAAAAAGCGGAAGAGTTGTAATTTATTAGTAATTTATTCTTAATTTAATGTGGAACTTAGTACACTGTGTGTGTGTGTGTGTGTGTGTGGTGTGTCACGAGAAGATACTTCCAAGACACCGACATCTAGTAAACGGTTGTCTTGGGAGATTACAACATCATTTATGTCTGACAGAGGCTACTTCGTTAATTTATGTGTAGGCCTCATCATTGTTTCAACTATAGGCGACAGATATGAGGATGTTAGAGACGGAAATGGAATGGTTGAGCCAGATCTTCTTTAACACTCTGAAATCAACTTGAAGATCTTCTGCACTCATGATAAAACTCGCACACCCACACAAACAAAAATTCGGATTTTCAACGCCAAATATTAATTCATTTAGTCCTTGTGTATGGGTTAAAAACTTGGCAAAGGCGCCAAGGAAAGCATTTCGAACAGCCATATTATGCAGACTTTTGTCAAAAGTTGGAGGATGGGAAGAGAATTATTCACAAGTTTATCCTACGTGACTTACCATCTTCAAATGACATTAATTTTGTTAAATATGCTGACGACTCGACTGTATCTTCGCCTGTCAAATGTCAAAGTGACTGCTCCTAACTAAATGGCTTCTTATCAGAAATCAGCCAGTTGTCCAATGAAAACGGTCTCACCTTAAACCCCTCTAAATGCCAAACAGTCAATTTCACCTTTAGGCACAAATCTGACCTAAACAAACTGGTTAGCACCCACTCACGAGGTGTGCAACATTGATGACACTGAAATAGAAACCAAGTCGGAAATTAAATACCTAGGTGTCGTTCTACATGCTGTTCTTTCCTTTTCGTCTCATATCTTGATGATTTCTAAGAAAATATTCCGTCTCACTTTTCTACCTCAAGAAGTTAAGACATTCTGGAATAACCCAACCCAACCCTTACTCCTACAATTTGTTAACTCCCGTATTCTGCCTATTATTCTCCATTGTTCCCCCTTAGTTTTTCCTGGGCTACTGAGAAAAGACTATACCTTATTATGCAGGATGTTAAAGGTTGTCAGCAGGGTAAGCTACGTGCCACTTAACCAGCTGATTAATATTCTGGTTGACAGGCACTTGAACTCATGTGAAAAATGGGCTTAATCCATTTTATCTAACTCACAACACCACCATCTTCATTCACAACTCTCCCCTTGTATCTCTTCAGGCAAAACCAGAAGCCTATATAGAAAACTATATGCTCGCACTAGCAAGTACAAAAACTCAACCATACCCTACTTAGCTCGTGTTCTGTGCGATAAAGAAAGCATTAGGCGTGATACCTATAACTTATTAAATAGTCAGTAGAACAACTGATTCCCGTCTTTCTAATTCATATCATTTATAGGTACAACGTTTTCTTTCTTTCTTTTCCTTTTCTCTCTCTCCCTTTTTTCTCTGTTATGTGCAGCTTTGTTTTTTTCTTCTGCATACGCCAGTAAACATGCTAGAACCTACTTTTCTAGCACCTTCAAACACTTTGTTTGATTTTGGCTTTGCTACCGACATGCTAATATGTTGTTGTCAAAACTAACTGAGATTACCCTTAATCTATGTAGAATTTTATTTTATTGTTAATTTACTAACTGGATGCAATACTGTAGTAAAATGCTGAGAATTCCATTCTGTATCGCAAGTTCTGTTTTGGAATAAAGCAAATTGTTATTATTATTACGATAATAAAGACATTGACGTTGTTGTTTTTGTAGTGTGTAATAGGCCTAAGAAGAAGAATTTGCATATTTAGTCTAACAACCTAAACTGTGTAAACAGCGCGTCGATGGCACAGTGGTAGAATACTCTGGTCAATCGCACAAGTGGTTCAGAGTTCGATCCCCGGCCACAGACCCACTCCTCCGTTACCTCGCTAAGCTAGTAATAAGACTGGTAAAGAGAGGTTAGGGAGACATAAGGCCAGTGGCAACCATATCCCGTAGAAATAAATACCACTGCAACCGAAACTTCAATAATAATAATAATAATCTACTTTATTCCAAAAGAGACAGTACTTATAAATACAGGATGGAATTCTCAGCACTTCTTACAATATTCCATGTGATTTACTTAAAATCTAAATAAAATTAAAACAAAACTTAACAGAGGAATTTGTCCACATTTACGATATATAGTCGAAAATATTCGAAGCATGAAGTGAGATCATTAAAAAAAATAATAATGATAACAGTGAGTTTGTTTCAAACAGTATTGTCGATTCAGTTTGAAAATTTTAGCATGTTATAGATGATTGAATCTAATGTTCTGTTGATATAACAGCATGGTGAGGGGAAATACAAAATTAACAGTTACATAACACAGCTTAAATGAAGTTCACACTTATGAAAGAAATAAACAAATAAAAATAAAAAATTGAGGGGATTATAAATATAAGAAATACAATAACAATAAATTTTGGTGCGGTAAGGGTGGAAGAAATGGTTTATTTAGTTGTGCAAAGAAAGTTAGTCAGATAGTACATGCCTGACACCATTTTCATCACATAAAGTACGTGCCACCAAATATGGTATTGTGAAATATTAATACTTAGACATGCGAGCATAAAGTCTTCTGAAATGACTTCTTCTTTTACCTGAGAAGGAGACACAAGGTTGGAGCTGCGGGTGGTGTGGTGGGTGCTCATAGTCTCACAAAATTCCTTTAGCAAATTTATTGCATGGAATCAAGTGCCTATCAGTGACAATGTCAACGATATGGCCCAGTGGGATGCCAATCGCCCTACTGACCGACAGTCTTCAGAGTTCTACTAAGTATGACACAGTCTTTTGTAAGCAATCCAGGAAAGAATAAGCAAGGGTGAACAGTAGAGAAGAATAGGTAAGATGCACGAGTTGACAAACTGTAATGGCAGGGAGGGGTTGAGTTATGCCTGAGTGACTTAGCTCCTTAATGTAAAAAGTCAGACGAAATATTCTTTTAGAAATTGCCTCTAGCTTGAAGCCCCTATGTTCCACTGGGGGAACGAAAAGAATTAAGTAAGTAAGTTAGCTTCAGCCCTGTTACAGTTTTGTTGAAATTTACCCAAAGCTGTTTGACATCTGTTTCTTCCAATAGATTATGCGGTTCGTAACGTGTGACCTGTTTTACCAGGGTAAGGGGTTTCATCGATTTAGATTATGCAGATAATATTTACCTTCTAGGCGAACACCTTGAACAGAGAAACCAGTCGCACACGAAGAATCTATGCGATTACTCACGTAGCGTGCAATCTGTAATGTCATGGTGAACGTTATCACACGCCAATCCTTCTTTTATTATTATTATTCCCTTTAATTCCTAGAGGAACATAGGGCTTCAGCCGCCCAAGTCTCCATTGCGTTCGGATTTCTGTCAAAGTTTTCACCCCGCTCCAAGTCTGCCCACATGCTTTCATTTCCTCTTCACATGACGTCCTCCAAGTCACCCTCGCATTGACGACCAACTTGCCGCTTCCCCACTCGGGCTCCACTCGAGCAATGGCTTGTTTAGTGATGTCACTTGATGGTTTCCTCAGAGTATGACCAGCCAATCCGTCTCTATTTCTTCCTGCCTATTTGTTACAAAATCGGTTCCTGTTTGGTTTGCTCATGGCCAGAGATACCTGTTTCTGATCTTTTCTGGTCGGCCATCTGATCTTGAATAGTATTGAGCGAAAACAACTGTTGATAAAGGTATGTAGTTTGTTTTCAGTGCTCTTCATGACGCTCTGGCTAAGTTTCTGATCCGTATGGTAAGTAGCACTGACTGACTTCACATTGAAGTTGAAAATCCGGATCTTATTTTCGATGCTGAGTGATGTTGACTTCCACACAGACTTAAGGGTAATGAAAGCTTCTCTTACTTTCCCGATCCTTGCTTTGACGTCCTCGTCAGTTTCGTCCAACTGTAGTTGAAACGACGCTTCCCAGGTAAGTAAAGGAGGTTGTTTCTTTCAGGTTCCTCCCATTTATACTGGCTGATTGTTGTCTGTTATTGTTGTTGCTTTTGGCGTTTGCCAGGAATCTTCATCACCTCTTTTTTCTCTATGTTCACCTGAAGTCCTATCTTTGATGCTTCTTCTGTCGCCAAGTTGTTGCT